TCCACTTGTCCAGCGGAATCGGGCGAAAGAGCACCGACGAGAGCTCGCTCAGCGGCGCGGTCGCGTGGTACTGCGTCCAAAAGACGAAGCGCTCGTCCGCGCTCGGAAGCGGTACGTTGGGCGCCGTGAGGAGCACGACGCGCTTGCCGACGAGGAGGTCCGTGAGCTCGGCGGCAAAGGCTGTGCAGAGCGCGTCGGGCACGGGATCGCGGACGACGACGAAGCTCACGCTGGTCTGGACATACGTGCGAATGGCCACGGTGAGGCCCAAGACGGTCAGCGAGCTCTCGATCAGTGCGGCGTCTTGTACGTAGATGTGATGGAGGAGGCGCGCGCCGGCCGCGGCCAAGTCGCAGTAGCCGAGGACGACGGTCGTGCCAGGGATGCTCATGCTGTGGCGGTCACGCGGAAACCTTTGAATTTGGATATTCAACGCGACAGGTTTTATGGCGACCTCTTTCATCGTCCACGATACGGTGGTTTAAACATCAGGTTAAAATGCGCCCCCGCGATACAAGAGAAAAGGACATGCGCTAGTTGGATGCTCAACACTGCGGGCACGCATTTGCATTGTATTGGTACAGGAGCTCGGCAAAGATGCGGTTCCGGAGCGCGTCATGAGATAGGATTTTCCGCATCCCCGCAACCTTTAACGCGTTTAAACATGTTGCTACAGGTCGAATGCGAAAGTGCACTTTATGAGCTCGGTCGAATCCTTCCTCGTCGGCGGCCGTGGTCCTCTCGGCCAGGACCGGGTTCGAATTGCGCTATCGCCAGCTGGCAACCGGCGCCAGCACGCCTCTCGCGAGCTTGAAGTCGCTATGGACAAGCTATGGGACGACAAGCTGGCGGCGCAGCCCCACCTCTTCAACGGTGCCAAGTTCCGCTTGGCGTCATCCGCACTGACGCCGGACGGCCTCACCATGACGTGGGGGCTCACAAGCTATAAAGAGTACATTAGCACGTGCTCGCGCCCTGAGATGGTGGCTACGTTGCGGCGAGACGGAGGCGACGACCCGCACCAGCACCTCTCGAGGAAGGTCGGCGTCGCCGCAGGTAATAATACCAGTCGACCCTCTTCGCACCGATGCGATTTGCAATAGCGCTCGTGACAAGCGACAAGCATGTGGTCTTCCTCCAGCGTAGCAACGCCGTCGGCGCGTATCCCAACATGGCCGACGTGCCTGGTGGCCACCCGGAGCCCGAGGTCCTTGCCGCCGTCACCCTGCTTTGTGTTTTCATGTCTTTTGCAGAAGCTGGGTTTGCACTTTGATCGGGATTACGTGCCGAGCGATGAGCTCGACGCGCGCTGCGTCACCGAGCTCTTCGACTCGATCACGGCCGAAGTCGAGGAGGAGATCAACGTCCCACGCAGCGCTCTCTCGCCGCCGCTGCTGCTCGGCGTGACGCTTCAAGGCAGCGCCGAGACGCCAAGCTACGGTATTTCTTCGATTCAACATCCCATCCATGGTCTAAATTTTGCTCAAGCCTTTCTCATCGAGTGCACACTCGCGGTCGCCGACGTGCAGGACCGATATGTCCACGCTCAAGACCAGTACGAGAGCACGCGACTCATGTTCGTGCCTGTAGCAGCGCTGTCGACGAGGTAGCCGTCCATTCGGTAGCTCCTCCATCTAATGGCATCTTGCATAGCACCATGGAGCTCACGCCGTCGGCTGCCGGCTGCCTCCAGCTCCTCGCCGAGCTCCGTAGCTAGCGACGATGGCCCTGGATCCCACACCGTTGGAAAATACAGTGTTTAGCTCTGTGTAAAGTAGAAAGAGGCATGGATAGGACGCTCCAATCTATGCGGGCCGTCGACATGGGATGCGCACATTGAGGTGAGAGAGTGTGAAGAGTGAGCGAGCGAGTGTAGAAAATACGAGAAATGGTGTAAAAAAGTAAAAGTCGAGAAAGAGATGGTGGGGTCCTCCCAGAGGGAGGTCAGAAATTGGTGAAGCCGCATTTTTTGTAAGACGTCCACGGTAATCTTTAGTAAAAGGCGAAAGATTAGTGCGGGTAAACGCTTTACTGCGGATACTTCAATTATTTACTGACCCAACATTGCTACAAACATATCTGAGTTCCTCATGTACTATTACCCTTTTGGCTCGATGTGATTGGCTTAATGAAAAGATCGGTCATGAATTATAGCCAATCAACATCAGCTTTCGCGTCGTCGCCGCCACGTCATCGACGCCGCGAGCAACGCGGCTGCACGCCAGGGTCATGCTAGCGTCCAAGATCATTCGTGCACCGGTGTACGAAGCGACGAGGCTTTTAGGGCCTCATCGAACGTCGGCTCAACGCCCCGTCATGCCGCGTTGTCGTTGCGTGGATGCGTGCTGGAAATGGATTGCAGTGAGACGCGCCGCGTAGAGGTTCAGACTACAACGAGAAAGCATCGTTGCGATGATCACTGTCTTTCGCCTCGTATCGTAGGCTGGGTTCCTCGTCTCCGTTTGATGTCGTAAGCTCTAATTTGGCGCCGAAACCGTCTGGCCTTTCCATAGTACACGCCTCGTGATGGACGCGATTCCCGAGACGGACGATGACGGTGCGCTCGAGGCACCGGCACCGCGCTTCGTGACGACTGCTCCGCGGCTCAAGCACGAGACCACGTCGGTCGTTGGTCGTGCCCGCACCAACCTCTTGGTCACGCTGCACGACCACTGTCGGCGGCACGACGTCGCCCACATGGAAGACGTACGCTTGCCTCTCTTTCTCTTTGGTCTACAAAGTGTACGACATAGGACCTCGTGCAATTGATCGATGCTTTCTTTGAAGGCCCTCTGTCGTTGGCGGTCCAGGACCGGGAAACAAAGTGAGAAACACCAACCAATTGTCTCGTCGTGGTCCCTTCTTGACGCGCTCCCTAGGTACCTTAACACGATGACCGAGGTCTTCCGCGACGAGCTCAAGGAGCGAACGCACACCATTGCGCGCGTGACGGAGAAATGCACGCTTCTCGAGGCCCGCATGGCCGAGTGCGACGCCGTCACCGCCGGTCTTCGGTCGAGTTTGGATCGACGCAGCTACGAGATGGACGCGCTGCGAAAGGCCCACTACAAGGAAATCCTCATGCTCCGCGAGCTCGTGACGCGGCAAAAGACCGACCCGGCGACACTCCGCGCTCTCGACGGTACGTCACGCCCTTCATCGTTCGAGTGTGTGGATGCAAGGCGGTAGAGGCCATTGCGGGGCTTCAACTGCACCGGCGTCGCATGGACGCAGCCAGAGCCGAAGAAACGTCGCCGCGCAAGGCGTCGGTCGCAGCCGATGTACGTTCTTGTACGTCGTTACTTTGATTGCGCATGGCGTATGTCTAGGAACCGTCGATGGACGACCGGATCGAGAGCCTCCAGAAAGAGCTGGAGAAGCGCAAGCAGTCCAACTTTGTGCTGCGTCAAGACCGCGACAAGTGGGAGGAGCGAACGCGGGAAGCCCGGTGCGTCGCTACAGCGTCCGTGGACCGTCGAGTGAATACAGGTGCATCGTAGAGCGGAGCTCGACGCGCTGCGGAAATCGCTATTAGCAATGCCCGACCTGCCCGCGCCACTTTCAACAACAACAACAACAACCGGAACAACGATCCCAGTGGCCACGACGCCGTGGTGGGCCGACGGCGCGCCTGGTGGACGCCGCGAGCGCCTCGCGATCGATAGCGCAGTCAGCGCACAGACCGTCGCGCCGCGTGACGTTGCAGGTGCAGTGCAATTTTGTGCGAGGAGGCGAGTCGAACCAATGCGATCGGTAGCGGCCATGCTTGAAGTCATGGCGCTGCCCGACGTGTGGAGTGAAGTCACAACGATTCTCACCGATCCCATGGAGACGTCTAAGGCGGCGGTGCATCTCTCGTCGCTCGTGCAAGCGCTTGCACCCGAACCAGCGCCGGAAACCATGCTGGAGGTGCACTTGCCGCCACCGAAGAGCGCGCGGTCTGGCAGCCACGTGCCTTGCCTCCATTGCAACGGTCTCGGCATCATCGACCCTTTGGCTGTCTCGACGACCGTTGATGTACACGCCGATGCGCAGCTCCAGCGTTCGCTGCAGCGGCTGCAAGAGGTGCTCGTGTGTCGGGCTCGACTCCTTCTGACGTGGCGCTGTATTGGTAGCTCAAACTCGAGGTCGAGCAGCACCAAGCCGAAGTCACCCAGTTACGCGCTGCCAACACCACGCTGACGGACCAGCACACGACGTTGGCGACAACAGGTAGCGGCGGTTCTTACCGACTATGTATGGCAACGAACGCGAGTAGTGACCGAGCTGCGTGCGCAGCTGGCGGCGATACCGACGCGCACGCGTGCGAGCGAAGTCTCCGGTCTCGTTTGAGCCTCCTTCTCTGTGCATAGGTAGCAGTCGCACGACCGAAGCGACCTCGACAACCGGCGCTTCGCGCCCACACCACTCGCTATCCGTGCAGACGGACGCCGTCGTGGCCAAGGTGCCAAAGCACGTCGAGGCCGCGGCCGTCGTGGATGTGAACTCCCCCGAGGCTTCGGATTCGACCCGCATAGAAGCCCTCGAAGCGCTCCTTCGAGACCAGGCTGTCTTGGTAAGCGACCTCCAAGGCGAGTTATACACCAAAGACGATATGCTCCGGACACTGCAAGAGAATGTGTCGGCCGCCGAGGCCAGTTTGCTCGAGGTTCGCCACGCGTCGGAAGTTGCCCAGCAGCTGCTGCGCGACGAGATCACGGTAGAAGGACACCACGTTCTTGTTGCGCGAAAAGACTTGGGTGTGTACACTAGGTACTTAGCGATACACTAAGCGCTCTGCGCGAAGCCTCGACGGCGGCGATGCGGGACAAGCAGGCGGCGCTAACGTCGTACCTCACCCAGCTCTCAACCCGTGCGATGCTGCCATCAACGCCGCTCCAAACGGCCACCGACATCGATATTGCGTCCTTGATTCCGTGGAGTGACGACGACGCGCAGGCCGAGACACTGGCGCGCGTCACCGAAGCCGCCGCGCAGCAAACCGAGGTC